TGTATTCTTTGTTTAAACTATAATCTTCTTCAATTAAGTTAACATCGATTAACTCTTGTATTTCATCATCAAGCGTTCTCAAATTATTTTTCTTTTTGGTTAATAATTCAAACAATTCCCGTAATTCTTTAATCAAATTTTCCTCCCCTTCAATTTTTAATTTATCTTCAATCACTTTAATTAACCTTGTAACAGACGATCTCAATGTGGAATATTTACGTTTCAATTTGTCTAACTTAGCTTCCTTTTTTTTTATTTATTTATTTATTTATTTATTTAAATACACCCACACAGCAATAATAGATACTTACTAATTTACTACAAATAATCACTAAATAATTAATTTAAGATTTCCCTACCTTTATTTGGAATTCCATTGTTCCTTGAATATGAACTTTCCATTCTTAAATCCAACCACTCAGATCGAACACACAAAATCTTCTCAAAGTCTTATATTTTCGCTGCATGCACTATCTAAATTGTTTACATTTTTAAATCGGGTGATGGTGGTTCACAAAGTTTTAAATCTTTTACATTTTTAACAATATTTTAATTCATTATATACAGAGCGTATTCTTAGGCCGCTGCCTTCAACATAAAACTTTATTCTCTCACAACAAAGTGAGCAACAGCACCCTCTAGCCTTTTCTTCTTTCAAATTATTTAACACATGTACATAATTTTTAATATTCAAAAATTGAAATGTTCACGAAAGAAGCTTGAATGATAGGTTTTAGGAAGAAACCTATGGGAAGTTTTGTGAGCAAACACAATAAGTAAACTTTCAAAACATATAATGGAAAACTGAAATTTAAGCACGAAATAATTTTAATGAAAGGTTTTTCTATATTATTTTAAGTATTAGTGATTATTTATTATTTAAATTTAGTAAGATCCTTGCACTGATGCTTGCTGCAAAGAGATATATGTCAGGCTCCAGTTTAGTTAACATTAGTCCCAAGTCTTCAGTTTTCTCGCAAAGACATGCCATCGCTGCTTTTATATTAAATAAAGTTTTAATTGGCTCATCACTTTGCATTTCTGCGAGTTCTTCTTGATCCTGCATTTGAAACATCAGCCAAATCTGCTAACATTGGCTGCATCATCTAAGAAGGGAAATCATTTTTACTTCCTTGTACAAAGTAAAAAGGAAGTATTGTAATCGCGAAAAGCTTCAGGCAGCATATTTCAACGAAAATATACACTTTGACCGCTTTCGAATGCAATTTAACGATGTTTTTGCCTAATATCTATACGTAAGGTCAAAATAAAAGACTCTTTTCCTCCAAAAAAACTAAAAAACTGCTTTAAAATGAATTCTGAAGAGAATTTTTCGTGGCGTATGTACGTACGAACGTACGCATCTCGCATGAATCAAAAACGAGTAGCCTCAGAACGTTGAAATTTTGTATATAAGACTACTATAACATGTAGATGTGCACCTCGTATTTTGGTTTCAATCGGCCGCGCCAAACGTATATAAATATATTTATAAATATATCCACTCTGTTACCCGGCTCAGTGATCTCAGTTTCTTTACTCTTATATGTTTTAAATTGTACATTTTTTGCTTTAGAAATGATTGAATTATGTTGTTTTTATCTTCCGGTTAAAGTTTTTATGCCTTTCGTAATTCTGGAAGCAATATTTGTACAATTATCAACAGTTTAAAAGCTGTTTAAGTGTGGTTAAGTTTTAAATAACATGGCAGGCATATTTGTTTACATTTGAAACACCAGAATTGTAGATTTGTTGCCAATCTAGAGACACTAAGCTTCGCAGCACAAAAATAATGCCTTCTTTTATTATTGCGAATTAAATCATGCTTAATCCTTTCTGGAATTTTTTCGAGGAAATAAGTATTTAAGATTTACTTCGTAATTTTTAATACAGATATTTTGAGTTTTTATGTATTTTTGCCTTGTCGCGAAGTGAAATCTGAATTAATTGAATGAGAAATACTCAATCGTCTGAGAAAAACTGTCGTTTTGTTTGCTTAATTTCTTTTATACATCGTTCTAGCTTTGTTACAGTATTTGAATAGAACATGTGGCAACGATTAGATAATTCTTTAAATAATATAAATTTTGTGCATTCTGAGTTATAATATGAACGAAATATAATACTGTTAAGTGAACCTAGCGCCAGAGTGTTGCTATGGTAAACAAAGTTAATTTTAAAGAACGCATTTATTCTATTGTGGTTTATGTGCTGTCGGCGAAGTAGGTTTAATTCAATCTATTAAGTTAAATGAAATGCAAGAAAAAATGCGTATAATTTAATATTCCATACAAGGAAGGCGTGGTGTACACATCAGATTTTTTTTTTTTTTTTCAAATCAGAAAATCTTTCTTTTAAGTCCGCCAATAAAATTTTCAGAGGATCAACAATAACATGTATATAGTGGTATCAGTCGCTTTACATTTTTTAGAGCCAATGAAACTCTTCAAAATTTTGTTGTAAATATATGCCTGACATAATTCAATAAAGGTAATGAAACCAAATATCTTTGCTTTTGCATCGATAAGAGTTTTACTTGCTTCTTCAAGTTGTTTATTTAATATATTTAGTTTTTCAAAGGTATCGACTAAATAACTCACAAATGCCTTACCATCAACCATTAACAGATTTTCATTTAAGGTTTGTCACTTAGAAAGTAGCTAAGAGTGTCATATAGTTCTATAAATCTTTTCAAGCAGTTCTCTTTCGACAGCCATCTTACTTCAGTGTGAAGTATAAGTCTCGTATACTCTTTATTTTGTTCTTCACAAAATAACTAGAAGAGACGTTAACATTTGGCATTAGCTTTAATAGCATTGATTCATTTTATAACTGAATATAGTACTTCATTTAGAACAGGCGAAATGTTTTTAGCTACTATGTTTTTCCCTGTGAATAACACAGTGCACAAAAAGCATTTCTGGATTCTCATCTTTCATCAATTTTAAGCAACTCTTTTTCTTCATCACATTAGGAGCACCATCTGCAGTACCAGATGTTATATTTTTGACATCTAAGTAATTTTTTAGCTTTTTATAAATATCTTTGAAGGTAGTGGTATGACTTTCTCAGATTTAGGGATGAGTAATGAAATTTGATAACTAGCCTCCAAGAGTATGATAACAGCTGCATTATGAGCAAGTAAATAGACTCTAATGTTATTCTTTTCTCAAAATTTTTCTTTAAAGTTTGAAAATAAATAAAATCTGAATTAATATGAGAATTGTGTTTCGTCTTCAAATGGGCCTCAAAATGACCTTGTTTCATTGATTCGTTGGTTAGGCATTGTTGGCATAAAAGATAAAAAGGTGACTGTTCATTTTATATAGCAGGTATGAAACCCAAATTTTAAATATTCCTCCGAATATTGGCGAACTTTTTTCTTGCTTGCAGCACTCATTTCACTAAGGGCTGAAATAAATAAACATTAAATCAATTAAAAACTTCTTCACTCCACTAAATATAAACAAAGTTGAAAGCAGCTGCTGTTGCATTCAGTGGAAGAATAATATATCTGTTGCCATTTCTACAGTGAAAGAAATAGGAATTTGCTGTGTGACATGTGCAAAAAAAAACATCTAGAAAGTGTAATGGCTCAGCTAGTTAAATGCCCTTTAAAAGCATTTAAATGTCCATGTCTGCAGTGAACATTCTTTAAGAAATATTTAAAATGCACCACAATTAAAAAACTTTTTTATGTATGCACTTACATTATTCTTTATTTCTGGGAACAAAAAATAAAATTTCAAAAAATTTTGACTTGTTGAATAAAATTTGGAAATTTGAATGTTCCTTGTCCCCTTAAACTATTGATGAGTCCATTTTCGAATTTCCCAAATTGCCCCCTGTGAGGCGTGGCCCCTATGTTGGGAAACACTGGTGTATCAGAAACTCTAAAGATATAATGTTTTTAAATATTTTGTGATTTTGCTGTTGAACTGAATTTTATGTGGCATAAGTGCAAAGAACATTATATTTAATAAAAGTTAACATCAAAAAATGCTTTTGCAGCTGAGGATGGTGGTTCGGTAAAAACATCGAAACTAGTCCTGTGAAAATTTGAAAATATGGCACTTATTTTTGTTGTTTGACTTCTGAATATAAATATATGCCAACATATAACACTACATCAACACTAAGCATATGCTGCTATGCAGATTTAAAAAATGTTTGTGATTTTGTTATGGAACTATATGTGGCACAAAGAAAACGATGCTTAATAATAAGCTAAAAGGACACAAAAAATTCAGCTGAAATGAGTGCAACAGTAGACTAGTAGACTGCGAGGTCAGCGAAAGTGTAAAAAACCTTAATAAACTCTTCTGGACAAATATTAAAATCTGAATCGTTTTTGTTTTCACACAATATATTTGGTAATGCAAGTAATAAAGTTTTTGGTTTTTTTTAGTTGGTTATAGCAAAGCACAGTAGAGACCACTTGCTTTGCTCAGCCTAAGGGTAGGGATGCCTTCATGGAGGACTTTCTAAGGAAAACTTGCTCATATACACCTTACATATGGAAAAAACCACGAAAATACCCATGCAGCCAGCCTGTTTGCCTGGAATCAAACCCAGGTCAGAGCTACCAGTGTTCAGCAATTTTACCACTCAGCTGCTGGTGGGTCGCAAGTAATAAAGAAATTCATGCAACTGTTGACAATATCTGACTAGTCTAACTGAGCATAGCCAAACAACCAAGGCAGTTTTTCAATTATATGAGCGGCTAGACTATTGTCACAGTCACTTCTCCAACCTAATTACGTACAGTGCTGAATCGGGCAAAAAATGTTTTCTCTTTTATGAGGTGCTAGTTAGTTCTCGCGGAACCCATAACAACATTTCTCAAAAACCTGGTTGGAAGATGCTGCTTAATAGCTATTATTAATGTGTATAATGAAATATCAGTTGTCAGTTTACTGGTAGCTATTATGTATATGAAAAAACTGTTGAATATTTGCATAAAATTGTGAACATTTTTGTAGCTGAATTTCTAATTTTAGTGGGATGGAACAGTTTTCAAGTGGACTTATAATAAAACTGAAATTGATTCTGATTCAGAAGAGCTTTCAAATGTTTACACACAAGTTAGAGAGAATGATGTATCTGGCTCATCTGGTCTTCGCAGGTCCCAACGTTTAGCTGACCAACAAAGAAAAAGACAAGAATTAGAAATGTTAGATGCATGTTGAGTGCAAATGTATAAATTTTTAGTCCCAACAGATCCAGATTTCTAACACAGTTTGAAAACCTGATGTGATAACTACTTACGGTAGGAAACATCAGACAGTTTTTTAGAGTATTTGTATGAAATAGAACATTATGATGCTTTTTTTTTTTTTTTTTTTTTTTTTCTTTCTTTCTTTCTCTCATTTGCTATATTTTAGTAAGAACAGTGTGTGTTTATTTCTAAATCTGATAATATATTTAATTGCTCTTAGGCAGTTTTGTGTGATTTTTTATGATGTATAGAATAATTTTTTACTTTAAAGAAACAAATTATGAAAATTATTAATGAAAAGATTAATAGTTTGTGTTATATGTTAAAAACTACAACAAAAACTTTTTTCAAAATAAGAAATTAGCAGGCTGGAAATATTTTCAACATTTGGTGGCATTTTTACATCAGTTTCTGTGAAACATACTTAACTTTCTGTATTATTCCTGAATAAAAATTTAAAATAATCTTTGTAGTTTTATATGCCTCTACTGTAATGAGCAGCTATTTAATTTCTTAACAGCATTAATGAAAATTTTGTTTTAAGATTTTGTACAAATACAGGTCTCTCTCACTTAATGAAAATTTATTCTGCAGTGTTTTACTGTTAAGGACTTGCATTAGTATCTACATTCTTTTAATGAAAGAAGTTTTAAAAGAATATTTGTAAAAGGGGAAGGAAAAGGTAAAAATAGCATTAGCTAGTAAATCAAAGAAATCCAAAGAGGATTTTGCATTTACAAAAATATTATGTTTCACAATATTTGATTATGTATTTCTTTTTTTTCTTTTTCCTGTGCTGCTAGAGTAATGTCAGACCACACCCTAGAATACAGTAATCAAACGTTTTCTCATTCCTTTTGTGGAAAGTGACTCTAGACTGAGGAAATACTTTTTCTATTTAATTAAAAAATATGTGTTTATCATATAATTACTTTAGTATACATTAATGTAGATTTTGATTTTTTTTTAAGTGGTCTATTTTAATTTGTTAGTTTGTGTAATTTAGGGCAAGTTAGGTTTTGGACCTGGAAATATTAAAGCGTTTTCTGATATAAATTAATTAGAAATTCTTTTTGGCTTTCTGCCATTTCAGCTTTTGAAAGGTTTCATTGGCATAGGAATATTGTATCTTTGAAAAGTGGGGAAAACCTGTACGAAGGAGATCTATAAAAAGACATTGCTATTTTTCATTTATTTTAAAATAAAAATAAAAGATATTTAGTACATTTTAGATGCTCTTTGCCATATATTTGTTTTAATACAGTATTTCTTTGTAATACAATTTTTTTTTTTTTTTTTTTTAATGGTAACAAACAATTTGTTAATTTGTTACAATACTACACTGTGCCTTTGTCACTTACTCATGATTTTTTACTTTTGTTAGAATATTGTTACAAGCATGGTGCTTGTTGTATATGTATTTGTTGCAATATGTACTGCTTTGAAAGCATTTTCATACCAAATTTTTAAGATAATCATCATATATATATGTGTGTGTAATGTATATACATATATTATTAAAGGATCGCTTTATTTGCTATAAAGATATTTTTATGTAAAGGAAAACATCAAATTTTGGAATTTAGGAAAGAACATACTGTCAATATGTAAACTTTCATTAAACATGAAGCAAGTGTACTTTTTAAAATATAAAACAGTTGTAATACAAGTTGTTTATTTGGAAAACTATGCAAGAATGTTGTTTCATGAAATCCCTTTACTAAAGAAATATTTTGTATTATATAATTCAGTTTGAGTTGAAAAGTTTGTGTATATTCATATGATTATATATTCTTATAATTGTACTGCATAGAAGCTGAAAGTAATGCAATTGCCTTTGAATAATTTATCATATGCGTAAATTTTAACCTTTTAGTTATTCGATTAAATTTTTATTTTTATAATATATACATATATATTAGAGAAGTTAATTGTTTATGTGAAATGTATTTCTCTAGAATCCATTTGATTGATAAGAATACTTAAATTTGCATAGTTTTTTTTTTTATAAAATCGTAAAGGGGGGAGAAAAGAAAGAATGTCAGCAGTTGCTATTAGGGTGTAATAATTACTCAGTTTTGTTCTAATTATATCATTTATTCATAAATCTTAATTAATAGTATTAATCAACTCTAGAGAGTTGTAATAATGTTTATTACTGATAACCAACATAAATTACTGCAACTAAACTAACCTAATGCATTATTATGCTAGAAGGATATTGTTGTTATATTTTTAATACATGGGATGCCAGATGCTTTCTTTCTTTTGTTGTTGTTGTTATTTTATGACTTTTAAATTAAAACTTACATTTAATAAGATACTTTAGTTTTATATTACCAAGTTAATGTTCCTTTAAATTTTTAATACAGCCTTTAGTAAATTATATATTGTTCTGTGTTCATAGGTTTTATTTCATGTTGAGTAATTAATTTTCTTAATCCTATAAAACTGACAGTGGTTATAATTCATGTACAATTTTTGCTTGCATTTTTTTAGACCCAAGTGAAACTTTCGACACCATAGAAACAAAAATTAGATAATCAGCCAAAAGAGGCTTCCTAATATTAAAATAACAAGTAAAGGCTGAAAGAAATTGATGCTGCATAAGTACTGTCAAAAAAATGTTTTCATGCAGTCAAAAGAATAATTTACATAAATGTCATAAAATGTTCTCTGTACAAACGTCATTGATTAAAATAATTGACATAAAATTCAATTGCTAATGTAATAAAGGTTCTTTATTTAATGAAATGTTTATTTGCTTAATGCACCATATAAATGTAATTTATTTGGAGAAAAAGATCATATAAATAAATATTTTTCTATAAGAGAAGTATTGCATAATATATAATTGTGTAAAGGAATTTAATTTTCTTTTAGTACAGATAGAGTATTTTATTTAATGAAAATTTTCCTTTGATATAAACTTGTACTAAATTAATATACTTGCGATGATGTAGTCAAGAAACCTTTGTGCATATTGGTAGTGTGCTGTTGCATGGAGAATTTGATGATTCTTCCTATAGCTTACTTGAATTTTCCTTTGCAGTTTCTCCTACAAAGTCCTTTATAAGGACATCCTGAACTTTGGATAGATAGCAATAGTATAGTTTGTCATGTTTGATTAAACAAACTAGAAATTTAAATGAAAGGATCTTTGGAGACATGTGTGATAAATACTTTGGCTTCCAAAAATAAAGGAAAAATCACAAAAATGGTGATAACTCGTCCAAATATAAGCCAATCCATATAAAATTTGAATATGTTGTCAAATAAGAGTTGTTGAGTAAAACTGCAAATTAGTGGCTTTGCAATCAGAATGCATCATCTGCGAGGAGCATAAAATGGCATGTTTGAGAAAAAGGCCTGCAAATTTCATTGTGATAAAGAAATCTGGGTTAGCCTTTTTTTTTTTTTTTTTTTTTGTTTCTTCAGGCATCATTTGCCTGAAGAACTGTGATGAAAAGCAGTTGGGAGACTAGTGGCTGAACAGAAGTAGCCAGATGGCTAAATGTGAGTCCTTTTGTGGATCATAGACTTTGGCAACAATTTTTAACCACAGATTTGGCATCCAAGAGGTTCTTCCAAGGACAGTCAACCACTACGGCGAGCACCGATGACCAATATTTGTTTTTATGCTCACGAAGGAATAGAACTGCATCTCCGACTCAACTCAGATCCTCCCTTGCTGCAGCCACCAGAAGGTTGGTTTCTATGTCAACTGTGCATAGAAGAATTCTTGAAGAAGGTTTGTATGTGAGGTGAACAGCCATTTCTGTGCTGCTCGCATCACGTCATAGAAAGGAACAACATTCGTGAAGGAGATGCATGTCTGGATGGCAAAAGATTATCACAATGGCAGATGATTGCTTTCTGTTACTATGAGCAAAACACCATAGATCACTGACATTTGATTTTTCGTGGTGTCTATACATATGTACGTACATATGTATCTTGCATAACTTAAAAATGAGTAGCCTCAGAACATTGAAATTTTGTATATAGGACTGCTATAACATGTGTAAATATGCATATACATTTTTTGTTGCTAAAACTCAATAATAAATTATAAAGAAATTTTGCTTACCTGTCAGACGCCTTCTCGCCTTTTGTCATTTTCTCTAGATTTTATTTGACGACACAATAAATACATTTACAATAAATGGAAGCACATATAAACTTTAGTTAGTGTTTCGCGTTCGTGTTATATCTTTCTCAGTCATCAAGGTTCTGCACTAGTCCAAGGAATTCAAATGCACACTGTGCCATCTGGTGCAGTACAGTTTCTACAACATATGGATGTGCACCTCGTATTTTGATTGCAATCGGCTACACCAAACATATATAAATGTATATATATTTATATATATATCCGCTCTGTTACCCGACTCAGTGATCTCGGTTTCTTTACTGCTATATATTTGTAAATTGTGCCGTTTTTGCTTTTAAAAATGATTGAATTATGTTGTTCTTATCTTCCGCGGTTAAGGTTTTTATGCCTTTAGGAAATCTGCAAGCAATATTTGTAGAATTATCAACAATTTAAAAGCTATTTAAGTGTTGTTAAGCCTAATTTTTAAATAACATAGTGGACATATTTGTTTACATTTGAAACAGCAGAACAATAGATTTGTTGCCAATCTAGAGAGACTAAGCTTCACAACAACAAAGATAACGCCTTCATTTATTATTTGTGAATTAAATCATGCTTAATCCTTTCTGGAATTTTTCAAGGAAATAAATGTTTAAGATATCTTCAAAAATTTTAATATAGATACTTTGAGTTTTTATGTATTTTTGCTTGTTGCGAAGTGAGAAATGAATTGATTGAATGAGAAATACTGAATCATCTGTGAAAAACTGTTTCTTTTTTGTTTTGTTTGCTTTATTTCTTTTATAAATTGTTCTAGATTTATTATAGTATTTGAATAGAACATGTGGCAATGATTAGATAATTGTTCAAATGATATAAATTTTGTGGATTCTGAGTTATAATGTGAACGAAATATAGCACTGTTAAGTGAACCTAGCACCATAGTGTCACTACAGTAAAGAAATATAGTAAATTTTAAAGCATGCATTTATTCTATTGTGGTTTATCCGCTATCGACAAAGTAGATTTAATTCAATCCAATAAGTATAAATGCAAGAAAAAATCCGTATAATTTAATATTTCGTACAAGAAAGTCATGGTGTACACATCAGATTTTTTTTTACAATATTATCATAATACAAATAGTTGCACATAAAAACAGTTAAACTTAGAATGTGACTACAAGTTTAAAAAAAATGGTTTATTAGAATATGTTTTATTATTTTTGTATTACTTTTAATTTTACAAATATAAACAAGTTTTCTGAAACAGAATTACAAATTATAATTCCATGATAGTTGTATTTTAATTAATGTGATAGCTATTTTTTATGCAATGAGGATTTTTATTATCTGGCGTGAAATTTCTTAATTCTTAAATCGTCTCAGTCCAAAAACATTCAACCTATTTCTTGTTTTCTGTAATAAATTATTGACTGGAATTCAGCCTGCTTCTATAAGGTAAGAAGAGGGAAAAGTCATTAATGTTGTTCGGTAACAACTTCTGTTTTGGGATATTTCTGTCAGATGACTTACGTTTCAAAACTTAGAATGCACATGTGTTTTGAGTGCTTGAACATCCTCCTTCAAAGCAATCAGTTTATCTTACCTCATAATATCAAGATAAATATTTCGCAGTTGAGTGGTTCTATGAACCATGTTAGCAAATTCAATTTCACTGTTTTGGAAGCGAACATTAAAAATTTTCTTTTAAATTCTGCAAGTGTCTTGAAGAAGTTTTGCATTCTGCGGGTTTTCCCCTGCACTTAGCCTTTTCATATAGCACCTTTTATATAAAACAGTTATATATATATTTTAAATTCCCCTTTATTTATTTTGATTTTTTCCTTACTACATGATTTATATGAATAAACAACAATTTTACAATATTCATATATTTTTATAATAATCAATTACATCTTCATTATGCCGATCCTGTTGCTGGTACATATTCAACTGTCGACCCTTTGATCACCATTGGACCCCTTTTTAAAATTTCCTTATCCCCTATGGAAATGTTTGATTTAGTATTATACTTGACTGCAAGTTTAACACTTGCGGTAGAAAATGGTTTTGTAACCTGATCTATTGAAAATGACAAAACTTATTTTGCTATTTGTTTGCAATATACGTATTTGAGATTAAACAGGTTTTGTAAGTAGTAATTATAAGCTTGTTACAAACATTAGTTTTAAAGATCTCCTCACGCTCCCCTCCTTTCTTGTGTGGGCTTTATTGTGTATGTAACATTCAAATTACGTTTCCTTATTTCATAATTTAATATATTTTGGAATAATTGAGAAGCCCAGTAATAGAACTGTTGAGAAGCAAAGTAAGAGGTGTTAATTGTCAGGCATCAAAGATATCAGCATTATCAGTTCAAATTATGTTTCCTTATTTCATAATTTAATATATTTTGGAATAATTGAGAAGCCCAGTAATAGAACTGTTTGAGAAGCAAAGTAAGAGGTGTTAATTGGCCGGCGTCAAAGATATCAACATTACCAGTTACTCATCAAATGTAGCAAAGTATTTTTCTGATAGAGAGATAGTGGCAGTTTTCAGTGAAAAAAAAGAAGGCTTATCAAGATAACTTGCTAAAGATAACGTTAGATGTCTTCCATGACGAGCAACGAGGTAAAATGTCTCGTCTATCCTCAACATGTGTGCCGTCACGGCTTAGGGAGGGGCTGGTTGGGAGGCCTTGTTATCTTCAGGGGGCATAATTTTATTATTTGCCCCCTGAAGATAATTCTGAGATAATTTTATTTTAAGTACCTTCGACCTATTTTAAGTAAGTACCTAGTCTTCGATACCGGAGATCATCCACCAATCAAGCAACACCCAAGACGTCTACCGATTTGTAAACAGGAAGAGGTACGAACACTTTTAAAGGATATGGAAGAAGGCGATGTCATCGAGCCTTCAGCGAGTCCATGGGCATCTCCCATCGCCCTCGTCAGAAAGAAAGACGGCTCAACAAGATTTTGCGTTGACTATCGCCGATTGAATGAGGTTGCGATGAAAGACAGTTACCCTCTTCCTAGGATTGAAGACATTCTGGACACTCTTTCTGGAAGCAAGTGGTTCTCAACACTTGATTTAAAGAGTGGGTGTTGGCAGGTAGAAATACATCCTGATGACCGAGAAAAGACATCATTTACTACGGGACAAGGCCTTTGGCAGTTCAAGGTGATGCCATTTGGACTCTGCAATGCGCTAGTTACATTCGAACGCATAATGGAGACTGTTTTGAAAGGTCTTTCCTGCAAGGCGTCTGATATACCTAGACGATATCATCATCGTCGGAAATACTTTTGAAGAACATTTAGAAAATCTTAGAAAGGTGCTTCTTCAGTTTTCCGTGCTTCATATAGACCTCAAAATTGAAAATTTCATAAATGGAAATGCCATTATAAAAATCCTGATTTTTTTCAGAGCTAAAGCGATAGTTTGTAGAAATATGTAGCTCATAATTTAAAGGTTCGTGTATAAGCCCGCCCACTGTATAACAAATTTGGGGAAAAAATTCCAGGAGGAAAATGATTGAAGTTAACTTCCTTGATCTATTGAATTGAAATATCGTTTGAATTACAAAAGTATGATGATAATAGACTGCCAAATGTTGTAATTTATGCTAACTTTAATGCTTTTGTACA